TTTTTATAAAAATAAAAAGACTTGAATTGCATAAAAAGTAGAAAATTTAATACCTTGAAGTTTTTTTTAGATATAAAAAATATATAAAATATAAAATTTATAAACAAACGATTTTTTATAGGATTAATTTACAGATTTATAAATCAAGGTAGTTAGGGCTTAAAATATATAATATTTTTTTTAGCACAAAAATAAGCATTCAAACTAAGTTAAGCCATTCCAACTTAATTTTTTTCTATTTTGTAATAAAAGATGATGATAATGATAATGGTTAATCATGTGCTATAAAGAATATAAATAGAAGTTTATATTTGGAAGTAGAATTGATACAAATAAACTTGGAGAATATATTAAAAGAAAAAAGATAAAGTTTATATATTATTTTTATTAATATTATATATGAAATTGCAAAAAGAATGAATTACTTGTATAACATGTACATTGCATATAGAGATTTAATGCCAAATAATATTTTTTTAATTATCATTAAGAAAAAAAAAAAAAAAAAAAAAAAAAAAAAAAAAAAACTATTTAATGTATTATTGTAAAATTGATTGGTTTTGGAATGTCTAAGATTGATGTTGGAAAAAATCCAAAAGCTATAGAAAACAATCATAGGTATGGTAGTATTAAATATATGATTCCTAAAGCATTAAAAAAATGTAGCCAAATTAATAAAATTGTGTCTATTCGAAGCAAAGGTTTTTTCATTTGTAATGGTATTTTTTATAATTCTTTTTTAAAAACATGTATTTTATAATATTAGCATAAAATAAAAGATATATGAATATGAAATATATGAATTAAAAAAATATGAAAGATCAAAATTACCTTCATATTGTCACGAGTTAATTAAGCTAATTAATGAGTGTTAGAGCTTGAATTCTTTGCAATGACCAAAATTTGCAAGTATTTGTAAAAGATTGATGAAGTTGAATAAAAAGTTTTTGGTAGAAAGTAACATTTCTAAAACATTATATTTTGATTTATGGAAAAAGAAGATTTATCAAAACATACAACTACAAGAAACAATATGATGACATTCATAAGACTCACACTAACAATTATGGTAAATATGCTTGGAATTGCTTAGAGTGATATAATATAATTAATAATATCAGGTCATCAAGTAATTTTATTATGATTTTATTTTTTTATTATTTAAGATTGTAGACATGAAATAAATCTATTAAAAAATCATATTTTTTTTAATATCTTATAAATTATTACTATTTTATAATATATATATATATATATATATATTTGTTTTTTTATGTATATAATATTATATATTAATTAGATATAATAGAAAAAAAATTAACTACCATAGTTATTGTATTTTATTGATAGGTTTATTTATAATGCTACATAATTCTTATAAAACCCTTAAAATGTCAAATAACTTGATTTTGCTTATTATATTTTAATATTATTTGTAACGATTATAAAAAGATCAGATAGTTTACAAATCAATACAACCTCAAACTTATACATATGAACTTGGTTGCTTTAAGTGCATTTTAAATGCATGAAAGAAGTGATATGGTTATTTCAGAATTAAAGTAGAATGCTTTTTACATAGAATTTGTATTTTCTATTTGAAACGAATTTTATTTAAGAAAGTAAAATTACATGTCTTCTCAGAAAATAAATAATAGATAAGCTTATTTAAATATGAGTCATGAAAATGATTAAAAATTTAATTTAAATAATTTAAATAATGATTGATTGTAAATATTTATTTATATATAAGTCTATGTTTATAGTTGAGTTGTTTAAGAATGCAAAAAATTTAAACATAATTTGAGTAGTCTCTTACTGTAAATTTTAAATCCATAAAACATAAAACATTATGTACATTATTTGAGCTGAATAATATGTAAAAACCTGAATTTCTAACGGATACATCAGTCACCCTTAATCAATTCAATGTAACATAAAAGAGCTTATTTTAAAAAATTGGAACCATATTTCATAGATTAGTCATAAAATCTATAATTTTATAGTTTATCAAAGGACTGACTATGTAAGTTTAGAATATATTTGAAGGGTTTAAGAACAAACTAAGATATTACAATAAAAAAATATACAATAATTTCATCATAAAATTAAAAGTAATATTCTTTTTTAGGTATTAAAATATATTTGGTACATTTGTAAGTCTAAAATATATAATATTACAATTATCTTCTTCTTTTTCTTTTTTGTTTTTGGAAAAATATCAAGAATACCTTTGTATTCTTTATAATATGAAATCTACCCCTTCCTTTTTGTGATAATTGCAAATTTGCCCTTCAATGTGCCCAAACCCTCCCAACATACTGTAGAATGCTGACGTTTATTAAACATCGTAGTGTGTGTGGAGATGCTTATGCTCCCTTGCGAGAGAAGACAAGCAGTTGTAGAAAAGTTGTGTTGTTTTGTTGCAGGAGATCGTAGCTATCCGTTTCCATTACAACATTTACATTTTGAACACAATAGTTTGTAATCAGATCGATAGATCTTCAAACGACATCAACATTTGCATTCACAGTGAAGGCAAACGATAGACCATTGCACTTGACCGCTGAACTTAGTATTATATTGCCATTTGACAATATTTACTTTTATAACTTCTGCTCAAGCTGTTCTTCGAACCTACTTACAACATGAGAATGTATCTACGGAGATTAGAGAAGTTTTTTTTATGTAGTGGTGAAATGTGCAGATTAAAATCCAGATAATATTTTTTTATCATGAACATGATGTTCCTCTTAGAGCTTTTCCTCAACAATGGCGCACAGGAAATCTTGGGGTCGGATCAATATTCTTCTCAAGCTCAAGGCGGTGAATATTATGATATAATGATAGTTATATGTGTATATATAATATTAGTTTTATAAATTTTTTAGTGATTTGGAAACTAATCAGACAATTACTATTGCACTAAAACATTTTTTATTTTAAACATGCTGATTTTATTTATTTATTTATTTCTTTTTAAACGTATTTTTTGAATTTGATGAATATGGGTATAAAAAAAGAATTATGAACAAATTATGTACATATCAGCATATAAAAGTCTTAATGTTGAATACAAAAAGAATAAATATGAAACTTCAAAAAGCACATGTGAGGTGAAAACATTAAAATGTAATCAATTTATTTGTGATATAAATTTAAATAAATAATAAAAAATAATAATTTTCGAAAAAAATAGCTTCAAATTTTAAATGTTGAAACTTGTTTGATATATATATCTATATATATATATATATATATATGCTTCAACAAACTATAGATTTTTTCATCCGTATGATTAAAAGTTATCATTAAATACCTTATAATTTTAAATAACCTAATGTTTCTTAAATACATATTGAAGCATATTTACCTAGTATGGAATTTATGCATAAAATTTTCCTTATATATATATATATATATATATATATATGTGTATGTGTATGTATGTATGTATTATCTTATTTTGTTATTAAAAGTACAAGTAGTATCCATATATTTAGTTTATCACTGGGAACTAAATGATTGTGATTTACATTATAGAAAAATGCTCTGTGGGTGTTTTAAAGAAATTAATGGATTCTATAAACACATAATGAAAACACATTTCCTATAAGTCCATTAAGATAACACATATTTTATATGCTCATTAGAATAACCCATGTTCTATTAAGTCCATAGGGTAATACAAATAGGGTAGGATACGTTCTAATGGGTCCATTAGGGTAACCTACGTTCGAATAGCTCTAGTGTGGGAACATGCGTTCCAAGGGAACAGGGGCACGGGCAGGGGTGCAGAAAAAACCCCGCCCGTGATTCCAAGTAGCCCGCGAGGAGTCGCTAACCACGGGGATCCATGATCGCGGGCCGTCGCGAGTGTGCAGCGCTGCGGCGACGAGCTCGTGAGCGGTGAGGCCCAAGCGCGGACATGCTACGTCACCGTCGCAGATCTCGCGTGGATTCATTCTTCAGACGTGTGATTCCCAGCCACTACCCCACAACTGGGTTTCGCTCTCCGCGGTCCACTCGTTCCACCTGCCAGTTGCTGTGGGCCCGAACTGATTCAATCCTTGGTGCAGGGCTCGCCGGAATATGAAATCCGAATATCCTCCCACTCGGAGGAAAATAACCAAGTGTTCTCTGGTGCCAGTTTCACCCTCCTCGGGGAAATCCGGTTTTTCACACGACTCGTCGTTTTCTGTGAGCAATCCCATGATTTGATGTGGTCGGGGAAGCAACTTGTATGAATCCGCTGGGTCGGAACATACCATGTTGGAAATCTCTCCTCGTGGAAGATTCAATTGCTGCCGAAATGAAATATCTTGAAGCAGTGGATACTATGGAGCGTTATTTTTTGGTTTTTTGCTTTCTTTTTTTCTGTTGAGTTTTGCTTCTGTTTCCAACCGTCCATGTGAAGGCGCATAATTGCAGAAAGAGTTTTGTATGGAGCTTGGGCAGGGGCACGGCCACTTGCGGGTACGGAGGCATGTGCGAAGAGCCATTGGTATGGAAACCGCGACTAAGTCACATGTGATTGTGCAAACTGAGAGTAGTGCGACCAGAATTTCTAAGTGAATGTTGTCCTGGCCTCGAGGGATGTGTGGCCAAGGAGTCAGGTAATTGAAGCACCAGTGACTGAAGCCCCTGGCCAGGCAGATTGTCCCACGTGAGTCACCTTTAAAAAATATCAGTCATTGCCGCAACCACTGCAATCACAACGCATCCACCACTGCATCCTGTGCGAATTCCATCCTAAGCAGAAGTTCCTTTCATCGATGGAAGTCACCGATCACCGGTCACTGGTCGCAAACTGTGCGATGGCGACCGATCAACACAGACAGCCTCGTCACATCACTCGCAGCATGGTCTGATTTATATCAGACAAAATAGAATGGGGCTGGTGAAGTTCTCATCCAGAGGTTCGATCCAGGGTGGCCCACTCTAGGAGGCTATGGCGAGGCCTATCACCACGAGGTCAGCCATCTACTCAGTTTTGATGTGCCTTCTGCGCCGATCGTCCTACAGTCCATCATTCCGAAAGCCCATGGCCTGTCTTGCGGCTCTGGTAGGATCTTTCGTCTTTTTACAGACCTAGTGGTGGTACATTTATTCTCCGATCCTTGAATTGCTATCTCCAAGGCATTCTCAGTGTGGCAATGCTGTGAAGCTGATAGGGGGCCCTGGGAGGAGGCCGTCGCTTAGGAAATTGGAGCAGTGCGGTACCTCGTGAATTTTGCATCGTGGTTCTGAAGTTGGGTCCCGAGGTTTCTGTGTGCATTTGAGAAGGGCGATCGTTTACTCTGCAGCGTGGGTGAGGATGGCGATGGCTATGGCACCCACGCATCTGTGCGCGACGAAGGGGGCACTAGGCATTACGCAGCCATCGTCGTCAAAAGACGCCCCAAAGTGTGGTGAAATGATGAATGGCATGGTGTCGTTCCAGGGACTTCGCACGACGGCGCTGACTCACCGGGTCGAGCAGATGAGCGCAATGTCGCTTGTAGGGAAGGTGAAGGCGCGCTCTGTGGTGTCACACCGGCGACCTGCAGCTGGAGCTCGGTGCTCCACCACGAATGGCAGCGGTGGGCGAAACCACAGCGGCATGAGCATCATTTTTGTGGCAGCTGAGGTTGCCCCCTGGAGTAAAACTGGAGGACTTGGTGATGTTCTTGGGGGTCTTCCTCCCGCCCTCGCTGTAAACACCTAACTCTACTTGCAAACCTCAGGAATCTTTGTGCATCAGTGATGAAATGGTTATGATCAGCCATGCCCGACCCTATTGTCTGTTACAATGTTGGCGGAGGATCAGTGGTCTGTGAGTTGTGTGAATCGATCTAAATTGGTAATTAATTCCTCTAGGCAATGCCCGTCAACATTTGCTGCATACATTTGAACAGAGTAGTTGGCTACATTGGTTTGTAATACCTCAAGGCTCTCTCGAGTGGCAAGTCCTGGCTTAAATTGTCGTTTCTCACCAGAAATGATGAAGCTCTATCTTGAAACTTTGGCTTAGAAATTGCATTTCTCAGCCTCTGTCGATAATCCGAAATTGGATTGCTGGGTTGCATTTCTTTCGTTTCATCAGCCGCCGTGACAGGAGTCAGGAAGATTGTTCAGCATAAGCTGCATCGATGTATTCGTAGTGTGGGAAGTCCAACCGTTTTCTGTAAATACGGCTGATCGATTTTATTTTTTTATTTTTTTCTCAGTTCGATTCATTTATCTTTGATTTGCACTGACAGAATCAACTAATGTCACCCATAGATTTCTGATTTTTGGGCATAGTTGCTCATGTTAGTAACGGGGAGCATAATCAGGTTCACTCAACCGTGCTTTATAAGCTGCATTCAGAAGTACCATTACGGATGACATGTCTGCTTGCATGATGGATTGCTTGTCCCAAAGGTTAGAAGAGAAATATATGTTAACAGATTTGCTTTCCTGGTCGCAGGCGCGTGGTCACCGCGTGATGACTGTTTCCCCTCGATACGACCAGTACAAGGATGCTTGGGATACCAGCACTCCTACCGAGGTATGTACTCTAGAGTTTTGTTTGAATCGCTGATACTTAATTCGTAATTTTGACCCTTGGAACTAGCTGTATATATCTGTCATCACGTACCTAAAGGAAAGTACATGCATTTGGTGCACTCAGCATCGCACTTTGAATAATGTACTTATGCAGATTACCATTGGCGACAGGACCGAGATGGTCAACTTCTTCCACACCCACAAGCGAGGTGTTGATCGGATCTTTGTGGATCACCCTCTTTACCTTTCAAAGGTAGGTGTCTCTGCTCTAAAATTGTACTCAGCGAAGGTTTCGGTCTGGTCTTTTGCTGGAGCGCTGAGAAGTGAATACGGTACAAGAATGCTCTTCAAAATTCTGTTGGTCCGCGATTGACATTTGTATTGTGGTATAGGTGTGGGGCAAAACAGGTAGCAAGATTTACGGTCCTAGATCGGGAGAAGACTACGATGACAACCAATTCCGGTTCATGCTTCTCGCTAAGGTATTTTAATCCTCGTGCATCTCTGCGAGCACCTATTGCTTAGTCCTTTCGAACTGTTGGAAGTGACCGAGATTGGCACCGACTGATTCCTTTTCATCATTTGCAGGCGGCAATTGAAGCGGCCAAGGTGCTCAGCCTTGACAGCAATGAGTACTTTAACGGCCCATATGGTGAGTCCTTAGATACTGACAAGACTTCCCTATCTAATCTTTTTTCTCAAGACTATCACATCAATCATAGTCTGAGATGGATACAATTCAGCCATACTTGTATGATAGTATGAAGTAGCTGAGTATATCATCACAATATGACTACAGGTGAAAATGTTGTCTTTGTGGCCAACGACTGGCATACTGCTCTACTTCCATGCTATCTTAAGAGTGAATACAAGCCTGCTGGGCAATTCGAAAATGCCAAGGTGAGTGATAATGCGGTTGGACAGTAGCAAACTGACAAATCTTGTTGTACGTTGAGATTATATTTCTCTCAGAGTGGAGCAGGTACTCTTATCAATCTAAGATGTATTTTGTCTTCAAGGGTTTAGAATTTTCTTTTTTAAATTACAAGAAGTACACCAACAGAGTTGGTATTACAATTTTTCTCTGAAACGACGGGGAACTTTCTGTGATAGGTGGCCTTCTGTGTGCACAACATCGCTTACCAAGGAAGGTTTGCTTTCGCTGACTTTGATAAATTAGGCCTACCAGACAAGTTCCGGAGCTCATTCGACTTCATCGATGGGTAAAGTTCTTGTATCCTATTAGTATTCTGGAATTTGAAGATACGGATTTGATAGTATGTGTCTCTCAGTGGTTTGTGGCTCGATTCCTCTTCAGCAACTGCAATCTTCGAGTGATGCGCGTGTCATAAGATAGCCACAAGTATTGATTGTTAACATGGAAATGCTCATCAGATACGAGAAACCAGTGAAGGGTCGTAAGATCAACTGGATGAAGGCTGGGTTTTTGGAATCAGATTTGAACATGACAGTCAGCCCCAACTATGCTTCTGAATTGTCTTCCGGAGTTGACAAAGGTGTGGAACTTGACACAATAGTACGAATGGAAGGAATTATAGGTATTTGCAACGGGATGGATGTTCAGGAGTGGGACCCCTCGGCTGACAAGTACCTGGACACCCCTTACGATATTAGCACGGTATGAAGCGTGTATGTTAAATGTATTGGTTTACTTTCGTTACTGTGGCACGTTTAGAAAATCTATAGCAGATCTCAATTGCATTACTCAATTAGTCATCGTGACCCTGTGCAGGTCTTCGATGCCAAGCCTGAGTTAAAGGCGGCGTTGCAAGCCGAGGTTGGACTGCCAGTTAGGCCAGATGTCCCTCTTTTTGGATTCATTGGAAGACTGGAAGAACAAAAGGGGTCTGACATACTGGCAGAGGCTGTAAAGGATTTCCTGATGGATGATGTTCAGCTCATTGTGCTGGTATGGCTGCTTTCTCCTGTTATCTCTCTGGGTTTCGAAACAGCTAAGAATGAATAAGTCTGTGGTCGATTACACATCATATCACTAGAAATGGTGGTTTTTTGTTTTTTGAATGTTTTCTCTTCGGTTGACAGGGAACTGGAAAGAAACATCTCGAGAAGCAACTTGAAGAACTAGATTCGTTATTTCCTGACAAGGCTATTGGAGTGGTGAAATTCAACACTCCTTTGGCACACATGATCACAGCTGGAGCAGATTTTCTTCTAGTTCCTAGTCGGTTTGAGCCTTGTGGTCTCATCCAGTTACACGCCATGCGCTACGGAACGGTAAGTACAAATGCTGCGAAGATCACAACCAATATTTCAGTCATTTTCTCAAACTCTGCTTGTGGCGTCTGTGCTGGGTTTTTTCCCATGTTTATTTTGTCTATTTTTTCTGCTATTTGATGTGTCGTCTACGTGGCGTAGGTGCCTGTTGTGGCATCAACAGGTGGGCTCGTTGACACGGTGGAGGAGGGTGTTACGGGATTCCAATGCGGCAAAGCCTTCAACGTTGACTGTGAAGTAGTTGACCCAGCGGATGCCGAACTGCTGTCGGCCACCGTGAAGAGGGCTGTCAAGATCTACGGAACCGCTCAATACAAGAAGATGATCAGGAATTGCATGAGCCAAGACTTGTCCTGGAAGGATCCAGCACGCAAGTGGGAGGATTCACTCTTGGGACTTCAAGTGGAGGGCAGTGGGCCTGGACAGGAGGGCGAGGAGATTGCTCCCAAAGCAAAGGCTAACGTTGCAACCCCTTGAGTTCGACACACACCACCACTAGCAGCTTGCATTCATTGATGTGCTGTACACGCAAAGTCGAGAACTGCCAGATTCCGGCGCCTTCTTCGCGACGATTATTATTTGTTTAACCATTCATCTTACTACTTGTCGGGGTCTGCATTGACTTCATAGCTGCTGTGGATCCAAACGGATGTAGAGCATAGTGTAGGGGATGATGCGGAAAACATCTGCTGGCGTCAAGATCATAGCTTTTGCAGCCAGATTTATTGAATTTGTAGGAATCTTGAGAGTTTGAGTGGTTCTACCTAAGACGGATTTGGGTAATGAGGAAATGGTGGTGGCTAGCGCCAGCCAAATCCATGGTTTCGCTGCTTAACGGAATCTGTTTTTTTAATTTTTTTTCTTCACCGATTCTTGGTTGTAAAACACAGTCCTTGTAAACCTGACACCTTGTGATAAATGAATGCGAGTACAATAAGTACTTTAGCGTATACTGTTAGACTATCTCCGCAGCTTATCCGTCGAATACACGACTGTTCATGCCACTCTTTTGATGTTGGAGGATTGAACATCGAGGCTAGTCAACAATGTTATGGAATGAAGGTATGAACATGTGACAAAAGTGATATCTGCTGTGTCGCAATTAAACCCTCTTAAATCCAGTCACTACGTATTGCATGTGATTTGCACATAGGATGTATTTATTCTAACTCCCTGACTTGAAGCTTCAACTGTGTTAGTAAACAATTCAATGTATTACCAAAGAAATGAAGCTACTGTTATAACTTTCGAAAGCTACTTTCGGCTTTCGCTGTAAAATGATGTGTTTCTACGGAGTGTCTCTCACCCTGCAGAGTTAATACGTCAACTTTGGAGGTGAACATTTGGATATTTGGATATTTGGAAGTGCACATTTGGATTTTTCCACACACGTATACTTGATTCTCCGCATCTTGCTCAAAACGCTCTTTTCTCACTACCTCCGGACCCTCGCGATGGCTGCACATGCTCTGGAGTCAAATTCTTGTCCTGTTCATCAAACGCCACAAATCCTTCGCCAGTCCAACTAGAGTTGATGCGCACCTCAGATGTTGAATCACTAGTTCTGCACCAAATCCGAAAAGGATTCAGATCGATCAGCTTCAGGGTCTGTTACCGACACTTACAGTGAACGATGTATATGTGACAGCAATGCGATCAGATCGGATCGCTAACTTGAATTTTTGAATGTGGGTTGCCCATTAGATCCATCGATGCCGTCATGTCGATGTTTCAGTCTTTGAACAAGGCCAAGCGACAAATTTGTGATCCACTTCACATATTTTTAAAATAAGTTTCACGAGAACCTATTAAAAAAATAAAAAAATAAAATCAATCTAAAAATTATAAAGAACGTCGAGAATAAACGCTCTCCACCTTGAACACGTTTCAGACACTGAGCTGGGCTGTGCCGCGGTTATGGGACTGTTGCCGTCGCCCCTTCCGAGGTTCAGAGTTCAAACTCGACGCCGCTCAAAAGAATACTCTCGATCCGAAACCGATCGCGTGCTCGGTGTCGCTCAATTCGAGCGAACGCATCATCGTGCTTCTGCTGCTGCGGATCAATCCTAACCGGCAACCAACCCACGATAGAGTACTCTGTGAATTCGTTTGGATGGTACCCATTCCGCTTTGATTGCGGTGTTACCGGTGTATTCAATTGTTGTACGTGAATGGTGCATAATCTGAGCTCGAGACTTTGGTTCCCGTAATTGTAATCGAGGCTGAAATGGATTCATTGGCTTTTTTAAGGAACAATAACCAAGAAATAGCCTAACGAACATGCAGTTTTTGGAAGACTGACGGCTATTTTTTGCCTCTCTTCTTGGCTGTACTGGTCATTCTTTTTTCTGTCGGAGTAGTAGCTGTTTTGGTCTTTAGTTCGCTAGGAGCTGCTGCGTTACGCTTTGTATAATAGTGCAGCCATTCCTGCAAATCTGAAACGTAAACTTGGATAAGAAAGCACCGATTACTCCTCTCCCAACCCTTTCTTTCCATTCTTTGCACCGACCAGCTACCTTTGTTCTTGCAGTTCTTCAATTCGAAGCAAGAGGTTTGCGTGCAGCTATTCTGCTGTTGTGGGTTTATAAGTTAGGTGTGCAGATTGATACGCTAACTTAGTCGCTACACGACAGACAACAGAACTCAGATTATACGCAAACTTAGTCGCTACCCGACAAACAACAAAACTCAGAAAGAAAACATGCATAAACTCAAGAGTAACTTAATAGTAAAAGAATACCCATACAGCCTCTAAGCTTCTGATTCTTACGAGTAAAAACAGTCCAACTTTTACATGAGGTTCTTTCAATACCAGACTGAAAACTAGTCGTCGGTGTATACCCAGACGACCTATATGAGATCTGGGTTCGGTCTAGTATGTGCCACTGGGGCGTATCGTTCAACAGTTCAACACCCCCCCTCGCCCCAGAAGCCCTAGTTGATGCTCTTGTTGTAACTCTAGATGCTTTAAAAAAACGTTACTTTCCTGTTCGAGGGCTTCTGAGTTTCTATTCGCGGGAAGTTTGTGATGTGTGTTGATGGCGCAGGTCGTGGAGCACCATCGTTTTTCACCTATGAGTATTTACTTTCGGTTCTATTATGCTATTTAGTTTCTTCCATCTGTTTGATTAACGTTGATGTCGAACTGGATGGTTTCGCAGTGTCGAGGCTTCTGCATAGTTTTGTGGGCGTTGCTGAGATTCTTCGCAAGCTCGTGTGATTGGTTGCTGAATCTGTTGGTGAGGAAATTATCTGCGGTGCCGAAGAAGATTTCTGGTTTTTAGCCAAGTTGTAGGTTTTTAATTAGCATTATTAGCCATGTAGCATCTGCTAGAGCTCTGTATTTAGCTTCGGAATAGAATAGAGCTACTGTGGGTTGTTTATTGGATGACCATGAAATTGGTGTTGCTCCGAAGCTAAAAACAAACCCAGTTGTGGATTGTGCTTGTTCCATATCACCTACCCAATCAAAATCTACACACATAGTAAGGTGTGGTTGATTGTTGGTTTGATATAATATCCTATAGTCTTATGAATTTTTGATATAGCATAGTATTCTTTTTGCCATTAATAGGTGATTGTTGAGGTTGCCATAAATCTATTGATCACTTTGTTGTTGAATGTCAAGATGAGTGTGGGTCATATGGAGGCATTTACTTATAATGTAGCAACACAAAGTTGGGTCTACTTCTTTTTCCATATTTGCTTTGAGCTTCACCTTCTCATGTATTGGAGTTGTTGCTTGTGTGCAATTTTTTATCTTAAAAGTTGTTAATATATTTTGTGCATAGGTTTTTTGAGTCATAAAAATTCTTTCCTTCACTTATATGTATTTTGTCTTTAAATAAAGAGTTACTTCTCTATCTAATAGTTCTAAAATTTCAAATTTGTCATATAGTGCTTCTTCAAATTTTATCATATTTTTCTATACAATTGTCTATCATTAGATCATTGACATATAATGCAATAAGAATAACTTGACCTTATAATAGTCTCAAATAAAGATTGTGATCTCCAGTTCCTTGTTGAAAGCCAACTTCTTTTAAATATAAATTTATTTTCTTATTCCAAGCTCAAGAGGCTTATCTTAAACCATAAAATGCCTTTGTAGTTTGTAAACCATGTATTTATTTCCAGGTATTGCAAAACCTTAAGGTTGAATTACATACACTTTTTCTTTCAAATTCCCATGAAGAAAGTTGGTTTTGACATCCATATGCCATAATTTCCAAGTCTTTTGAACACCAATTGAGACTATAGCTCTAATTGTTACTTATTTAACAACTAATATGAATGTTTCTACATAATTTATTTCTTTTCTTTGTTTAAAACCTTTTGCTACTAGTTTAGCCTTGTGTTTTTGTAATGATCCATGAGTATTGAATTTAGCCTTATAAACTCATTTTATAGTTATAGCAAACTTATCTAAAAGAAGATTGTAAAAAATCAAGTTTTATTTTTGTCAATGGATTTGATTTCTTCAATCATGACTTGATTCTAACTTTGATAATATGCTTCTTTATAAAATATTGTTGGTTCTAAATCAAATATAGTTATTAGACTTCCAAAATATTCTTGTAACCAAGTTAGAATTTTTGTTTGTCTTCCTATACTTATTGTGGTTGGTAAAAGCCAAATTGGATTTGTTGCAAAAATTTATGAATGTAGTGAATCAAGTGATTCAATAAATGAAATATCATTGTAAGTATCTATAATGAGCCATTCATCAATTTTTATTCTTAATGTATAATTAATAATAGAATTAGTATTGTTAACACTACTTGAGATCATCAAAGATGTAGGAGCTAATGGATTTGAAGATGTTCTTATATTTCAAAGACAAGAACTAGAAGAAGATGCATAAACTTGAAAAATTTGTATAAAAAGAAAACTAACAAAATAAAAATAAAGTGGTATGTATATTAAAAAAAAATTGGAATGCCTATTGCCAAATGACAAGGAAACTAGAAACTATTAAATTTAGACTAGAAATAAGAAAGGAGTTGACAAGAGTAAAAAGGACTTTAATCTTGCCTTTATATATACTATCTAACTATGAGCTACGTGACAATGTTCTATAAGACTTGTAATATGTGTTGACTTTGTATGACACATGCTTTAACTTACAAAGCAAGTTTTTTATGTGTGGGCCATATAATTAGCTTGTTCTTCAATCTACCAACATGTGTGGCATATACCAACTTGTTGTCAAGGATACAAACTAGAAGAAGATATATAAACTCATGAAATTTGTGTGAAAAAGAAAGTGACAAATTAAAAAAAATATATATATATTCAAGAAAGAACTAGAATGGCTACTGTGAAAGACTATAAAACATAAGATTCTTAAAACTACACTAAAAGCAAAAAAATAGTTGATAAGAGTGAAGAAGACCTCACTCTTGCTTCTATATATGCTACTTAACTAAAAACAGTATGGCGACATGCTATAAGATCTCTATTACGCGTCCAATTTGTACGACATATGTCTAATTTGCAAGGCAAGTTTCCTAGGTGTACACTAATTAATATAACCTTTGCTATTGTGGTCTTGCCTATTCCACCCATTCAAATAAGATGCAATGCCTTTACTTTATTTGCATGATGTTGTCTTATTCGTAATAAACATTGTATTAAACCAAAAATTTCTTCCTCAAATACATCAACCTGTAATTAAAAAATTCATTCAAAATTCAACAATAACACCAAAATAATGCATACACTACATTTCGACCTACTCTTACTAACTTGAACTTATAATGATACATGTAAATATTATTATGGCATGTAAGTGTGTACAATTTAAAAATTCCATCAATACAACCAATTTGATATATAATCTCTACGGTTTTTAGCACAAGTCTTACCAATGGCAATCTATTATGTATTTGTTGAAATTCTATGTTTTGATGATAATTGTTTTTTGATGCTCCAAACTTTGGAGCATTCGCCACACCAATTCCAATTAAATACTTTTTCTTTAGTGACTCTAATCTTTCACAAACATTTGCAAACTTTGGTTGATGCAAAGGATTCAACCTCCAACATTCTTGAATAAGCTCAATCAAATCCTCACAATTTGAAGGTAAGTTTGGTCTTTCACCTTTCTCAATTCTATCTAATATCCCTTTCACTTCATGAACATCATAAAATGGATCTTTTTTTGAAAGAATCTTAGAACATATCATTGCAAATGAATAAACATCAGCTTCAAATTGACACATTTCTCTTAATTCAAATTTATTTCTCAATGCTTCTAGAGCCATATATCTAAGACTACCATAAATATAATTATTCTATGTGGCTTTTGGATTTCTTCCAACTTCAATCTTAGACATTCTAAAGTCAATTACTTTCACAACAATATGTCGAAAGATCTTATTCATAATCTTTGATTCCACAATATTAACCAAAATATTCTCAGGTTTCAAACCTCGATGTACAATGTACATATTATACAAGTAGCACATCCTTTTTGCAATTTGATACATAATGTCAATTAGAAAAATATAAGATACATCTTTTTATTCTTCCAACATATTGTTCAAATTGTTTTGCATCAACTCCATTCCAATATATAAATATTCTTTTTTGTCATTTGTTACAATTGACTTAATACTTCCATTAGCACTACCTTTCATTGCAAAATAATATATTATCAAGTTAGGATGACTCATACTTGCTAGAATGCTTACTTCTTTGATGAACATTTTATCAAATTCAATATTCATTTTTTTAGTTGCACACACAAGTCCAAACCACTTTGATTTGTAAACTTTACCACAACTTCCTTTAAGCGTTGTGTAATTTCAAGACTCTTCATATCTAATAATAGTTTCAAATTATCCAACTCTCCACCATCTACGCAAAGCAAGTCTTCATATCTTTGTAATAGATGCTTTGCTAATCCAAAATATTCAAAATCTTCTTCTCCATTTACTTGAATCAACTTCTTTTGTAGAAACTCAACATCTTCTTTCAATTCATCTTGAGTTGCAACATTAAAAGTGGCAAAAGTATAGGCTTCAAGTTTGTTGGAATAATGCTTCGAAAGTAGATCACTTGCTATATCACAACAACGTTTTAAATTCAAAAGTAGTTCTCTAAACGCCTCTTTGTTATTCAATAGGAAGATAGCTTTTTCACACCAATTTTCCTTTCCACAATTTTCTACTAGAAAATAAGATTTGTTTATTGTGAAAAATAACTCACTCAACAAAAGTCCAAATTGCAATCCATCATTAGTACAAGTCATTAGTTGGTCAAAAACTTTTGTAACATGCTCAATTTTCTTGCACAAATTAGCACATTGGTTTCTATTCAACAAGTTATTTTTCTTCAATAAAACCTTAAACACTCCCACATATACTTTAGATCCTTTCCAAGTAGCTCTATAATTACCTTGGATATTTGATTTTTTCATATATTATTCCATTGTATCTCTACAAACACCTTGGATATTTGATTTTTTCATATATTATTCCATTATGCTTGAGGACCTTGGAGTGAAACAACCATGGAAATAGCTCCATATCATGAATATATATTGCTTCAATGATTCCAAAATATATTCCATAATGGATGAATAAAAATATTTTCCAATTTCACTTTCTCACCACCTGTAGAAAATTACACATTAGATATCTTTAGTATTTCAAAAACATTTCTCACACGATATACTTTTTTTACATTGTCCCACAAACCATACAATCATCCAGCCTACAAATTGAATCTATGATTCTGAAATAACCCTAAAACAAACACTTAATTTCTTTACATATTTTAATAGCCTCATTTCAACCTACAACTTCGATGTTAAAATTACTCATTTTATATCACTTCTACTGACCACAACAATGTCAAGAGATCGCAGTTGAATGCTCAAGGGAATAAGGAAACACGATCGGTCGTCGGATTCGGTAATGACAGCAGCAACACTTCCGCCCGTGCAGTGAAAGGGACAAAAACAACAATCCTCAATAATGCTTAAAAACGGCTCTAGGAGATAAGAGTGGACAATCGGCAAAGAATCCGACGACGAGTTGTCCTCCAGCCAAAGAGTAAAATAAAAGAACAGCAATCACGTGGGAGAAAATAAAGACCAACCCAGAGCACAATTCTACTCTGTAACCAGTTTGAATTGCCTCGACCACTGATCCACCGATTACTCCATCTCACGTGTAGTTCCTCGTGCTAAAAATCCGGCACCGCGCAAGCGCAGCAGATCGAAACGTCAAAGAAGGTCTTGCCGTGGACTTAGAACACAATTCCAGCAGAGCCGACGCCGGAAGGGATATCAACGCCGCACTTTCACTTCACCACGCCACTGCGACCTAGGGAGGACAAAAATAAAAGCTGAAAAGAACAACTTCGGCAAGAGGAGGTCAACTTCTACGCCTCGTCGATGATGGTAAGAACGAGCGCCTGGAACCGTCCAACCGCAATGCGCCAGCGGTTGCGGAGCTCAAAACAACAAGACAAAAAGAAAACTAACCAGAGAGAGGACAACAACTGGATTATACACGAGGAACATTTTCAAATGCATACTATATTTCAGTTTACGACCTACCCCTGCGCATCTCCGATGATGAAAAATACATGCAACTCAAGAAGAATTTAATGAGGGTTTAATTT